TATTGTCTGGTTCTGACGGTAACGCCAATATTTAAATATCGCGAATGCAACAAGTATAATATATATATTTTTAATTTTTGGCGGTGCACATTTTGCTGTCTCCTTTCTCAGTTTTTCATGTCCACTGATGGCAACCTGGTTACTGTTACTGTCAAACCTTGGAATGTATAACTGCAAAATTAGGAACTTTCATGTGACCTATTTAGAGCATACATAACACAAAACACTTCACTACTAAAGACATCATTTCAGCACAGAACAATATGTAATCTAGAAAGGCTTCATTTCGAGTTGGACAAAGTGCTGCGTGACCATCTATTGTTTTGCTCTATGGCAGGAGACAGGTTGAATTCTGCTGATGGCGATACCTCCAATTGTACTGACAAAACCGCTAACGTGACTAGCAACCATGCTACAGAGCAGCTAGCAAAAGTGTGGATGTAATAACTATGCAAGGGGCATTAATGTAAACACAAGTGGTCAGCTGGAGATGGATGATAAACACAGGTGTAGATGCCGATGTGTCTTGGTGGTCTAGTTGTGATCAGATCACGCAAAACACATGTTAATACCAGGTTGAAACGGGGCCTTGCATCTGCTGTGTGATTCACGTCTTGTCTCAACTCTTACATTATTAGCTCATTAAATACATAACATCTTTTCGTACATGATCACACTATTTAATTATGTGCCATGAGGCTGGTTTACAACCGTGGTTTTATTATAACACTTTAGGACGCAGCTTTATGTGAAACTGAATCTCCCTCTCGAGTTATTCCTGGACACTCTAACACACAAACGGCCATTTGTTCCCGTCTGCAGGTGTGTCTTTGAGAGCTGGCGCTGTGACGGCCAGGTGGACTGTAAGGACGGAACAGACGAGCTCAACTGCACCGTCATCCTGCCCCGCAAGGTCATCACCGCGGCAACGGTGGGCAGCCTGGTCTGTGGGCTGCTGCTGGTGATCGCCATGGGCTGCACCTGTAAACTGTACTCGCTCAGGACCAGGGAGTATAGGTAAATGTTTTGAGTGCCAATAGGGATATTGTTTGACTCAGAGTGATAGAGTAGTGCCAGTAATCTGAGAGGGTGAGTCACAGGTTTGTTTTCCTTACTACTGGCTTCAGTTGTTGCCAGACAACACCTCTCCAACAAATGTCATGTGTTCTCTTCAAAAAACTAAACTTTTCAACTAAGTACAAGTGAAAACTATCATATAACAAAAACACGGATAGCTTTGAAAGATAAACACATATGTACATTGGCTGTGCTCTGGCAGATCTAAATGCGTCTGTTTTCCGGCAGCTTGTTTGCACCAATCAGCCGTCAGGAAGCGGAGCTGATCCAGCAGCAGGCTCCTCCCTCCTACGGTCAGCTGATCGCCCAGGGCATCATCCCCCCAGTGGAGGACTTCCCCACAGAAAACCCCAATGAGGTGAGAGAAAAGAGACCACAGGAACTGGAGACTGGGTTTTGATAATACTTTGAGAGCTGCTGACTTGATCTAGAGCAACCTGTCGAGCACTGCAGCTTGCAACATTTTTGGCGTATTCTTTGTGTTGTTTACATATTTCTGATAAATTACTTCCTGATACCAGTTGTTAATGTTTCATCTTTAAAAGGTAATACCACCTTTAATAGCCAGCGTCTCATTATCACTGTCCTCATTCATATTTTAAGAAGCTACAAATTATATTCAGCCACAAAATAAGTCTGAAAAGCTGCAAATCAGAACAGAAGTACAGAGAGTTGTTGCATAGAGATGATACACCATCTCATCTGGTTGCATTGGTGTGAACCGCAGGTTTTTAGAACGTTGCAGAATGGCGCATTGCAAGAAATCTTTCCCTAGGAATTGGGACACCACTGACTACGTCACTGCGTCGGTTACGTTCATGCATACGTAACTACTTTAAACAGGAAGCTGTGAGCCATCTACATTTCCAACCAGCATCTACAATGGAGTCTCCAGTTGAGTTCATCCTACCGATCACGTTTGCTGTATTCATCATGCTTCGTTTGATGAACGACAGACGACAGGGGACTTCTGCTAACTAGCTAGCTGGCTAACCAGCTAACATTACTAGGCAGCATAGTTATACTAGCTGGCGTGTTATCGTAATGTGAAAAATTTTGCAGAACGGGACAGATGACAGACGCCAGATAGTGCGAGCTAGCTAGCTAGCTAACAAGCAACCTGACGACTGTAACGTTAGGTGCTCAGTGGTAGCCATGGCGACATTTACCCCTCGCTAGCAAGTCAGCATCTGAAATCCCTCACTCCGAAGGGCTAGTGTCATACCCACTACCCCTCGTTATGCCCCCTACCCCTACATGCAAAAAGGAATTGGAACACCCCTACCCCTTGCGGGAACACGCAAATCTAGGGGTAGGGCCATGGGGGGGTATTGGGACAGGCCCAAAGTTGACGAACTGGACTAAAGTTGGGCTGCTAAGATAAGCAAAACTAAATCAAAACATCAGTTTACAAACTCTCACACAACTTGTGGAGTATAATCCAGGTCTCATTTATCCAGTCGAATGCTCAGTACTTCCATAACACATGTATCTGCACTCTGCACGAGCAGAATTCAAAGCATGTGCTTGCCCAGGCAGGTCTGCTGGTACGCAGACATGTTTTAAATATCACAGTTTTAGCAAAAAATGCATGTGGTAAACTCCTTCCCCAGTTTTGAAAAGGAGCATAACAAGTTATTTAAATGCTTTAAGTTTAAAAGAGATGTGTGAGTATGACAGCCCCACATTTTTTCTCTCGACTCTTCAGCACGCTGTAATCCATAGTACACATTGTTTTATGTGATTTATGTGTCTGAGCTCGGCTTTAACATCAGTATTAATCCCCAGCAGGCTGTGGGCTGAAGTAGGAGGTGTAAAGATAAAGCTAATGTTCTGTTACCATGCAGGTTCACACTAATGTGCTTTATTATTAGGTGTTGAGGACAGCTGAGGTAGTGGAGGCGGAGGGATTAAGTGTATAAAACAAAGCCCGTTCTGTCTGATGGGATTTGGCTGAGCTACCTAATCGTTCCCTATACTTAGATTGCAGTCTTGTGAATACTGCGTTTGGTGTTTCAGATGATTTAGTATCACTTTAGGATGCTGAGTGAGAGTTGCAGAAGGTGTTTAAACTGTTTTGCTCCTTTTCAGACCTCGTCTCTCTCTCTGAGGGGAATTCTCCAGCTCCTCCGTCAGGATGCCGCCAACTCCCCACACCGCAGACGCAGGCCCCGATTCGTCCGCCGGGCTGTTCGCCGCATGAGAAGGTGGGGTCTGATCCCCAGACCTCCCTCCAGGCCGAGTCAAGCATCCAGCTCCGGTCAGCAGCAGTCAGACGCCGCTCCCTCCGGACAGGAACCAGCTCACTCCACTCCCACCAGCTCCTCATCGGCCGTGGAGGCGGTCAACCAGCCGGTGCCTCAGAAACTTGGCTTGCTGGCTCAGTCAGAGCAGCAGCGGCAGCAGCAGCAGCAGGAAGCGCCGCCTCCTCTACTGCCGCTGCCACTGCCGCCCGTCACCTCCCCACCTCCACCTCCATACGCTCCCCCAGCTCCAAGCCCGGTCACTCCCCACACTCCTCCCGTCGCCGTCCCCCCGAGCAGCCCCTCCCTGGCCTCCATCTTCCACACGCTGGGCCTGAGCATCTCCCTCTTCAGAGCCTCACCCTCGTCCTCCTCCACCAACTCCATGCCCCTCTCCGCCTCCCCTTCGTTCTCCTCCTCCTCCTCGTCCTCCTCAGACGACGACGTGCTGCTTATCCCCCTGTCTGAAGACACCACTTCAGAGGATGACGTGCCCATGCTCACCTGAATGACTCCCCCCACCCACCCCTCCTCGTTTCTCCTTTACTCACTGATAATAACTGAAACCCAGTCTTTCCACGTTTGTTTGAACTCGAGCACAGGCCACGGCGAGACTCACCCGCACTGTGCAAGTCTGGTGCCTTTTGAAATTGCTTTGAGTTGTTGGAATCAAGTATTCTACCTTTCTTTTCTTTTTTTTTTTCAAAGACCTCCTTGAGAAAGTTTTAGACGAAAAGCATGGCTGAGGTATGTTTGAGAGTAAGTGTAGGTGAGTATTGGACGTGCACTTACAGTTATTAATGCTAGGCTGCACATTGAAGGTAAACTTTTGCACAGAAGAATCTTCCCTATCCAGAAACTGAGGCAGGCTACTGTCAGATTGAATGATTAGAGTTTTTAGATGGAAAATATTGTGTTTGTATGACTGCAACTGTGTGAATGCATTTGCATTTTGAGTCTTACATTGACAGTGGAGTATGTTTGTAGATGTGGATTGTCTCCACATACTTCTGCCACTTGCATCCGGTTTCATGTTATATCACAGATAATCTAAGAAAAAAAAAATTCCCCCTATTTAAGTGCCTTTTGAGGAGTTTCCCGCAGATGGCTCGATGATTCCTGAGATACACACTGCACACCAAAAACACACGGAGGCACACGTTTTCTCACGTCATAGCACGCACCGACACATCAACGGCTTTATTGTAACATGATGAATATAATGCATGTACTCTGCAAGCTGGCAATAACTTTTTGGGACCCCTGTTATAGTGCACACTGATTGCAACATTTCGAGTACACACACACACACGCTCGTGTACCCTTCCCAAGTGAATGTATGTAATCTAAACAAGCAAACGTGTCAAAAGACAATCTCTTCGGTGCCTGATTTTAGGATGTGTGTGAGTGTGTAGTGTGCACGGCCCCGCTGACGAAAGGGGCCCCGAATTCACAAAAAAAAAAAAAAAAAAACCTCAACTTGAATCTTCAACCCTCGAGGGGAATCATTCTGTCACATTTTGACACAACAGACTTGTGGTGTGCCATTTGTATTATTGTACATTTTATGGTGTTTTTATTTCAGCGAGTTACTTTTCTTTTTTCCTCTTCAGTTGTTTTGCTTTGTTGAATGTATTAGGGTCGACGTGGAGTAGCCAGACGTTTTAAATTTGCAATGTAATGAGGTAAATAAGAGAGAAAGTGATTTTATGGTTTATTAGGGTCAACTTCACTGTATATAAGTAAAAATGTGGCTGAGATTAAACGATTTGCACTTTTAGGTGTTGGGTATTGTGGTTTTTTGTTTGGGTGTTGTTGTGTTGGGGGGTCGGGTGCGTGAAAAGACACCTGACACCTCAGTAGCAGATGACAGTCGCTGCATTGTGCTTTGTATTTAAAACTCCTATGGAAATTCACAGACCCCTGAGAGAGAGCTCTGCAGTGACTGCTCTTTGAGAAGTTCAGATCAACACTGTGGTGAGCAGCATGGAAGGCAAATGCAGAGAAAATGAAGCTGTTTGCCACTGAAGATTCAGACTGCATGGATGGACTGAGGTAAATATACGGAATTATTTTGATTTAATTAATTAATGCTGCAGGAAAGTGATGTTTGGAGCTGAAGTTTGTTCTGCATTTAACAGCTGTTCCAGCGTTTTATCGCCTTATTCCTCAGAGCAGAGTCATTCAAAGTTAAACCCCACAGGCTAAAATTTCCTCATGATGACCTTTGATCCTGCTAAATTCATCTAAGTGTGTAAACGATCTCTCCATTTGTTAGATGATCTGTTTTAAAACCAGTGGAAACAGAGCCCTGAAACAATGAAATGATTCTACTGACCTCTGCCAATATGTAGGTTACTCTTTTTTACCTGTCACTGCAGACTTTTGTCCATGGATGCTTTTTTCTTCAGTGATGTGATGGGTCAGAGGTCACGGAGATTTATCCCACAAAAAAGAGAACCAGCTTCGTAGGACTGAAAGCCCAGAGTTAACCCTAAAGTTACATCGCTTACTCCGAATCCTGCTTCGTAGCACAGGCCTCTGGACCTGCTCTATATATCTTACTATGTAATGACGAAAACTCTGTCTGTGTGTCTGTTCCATGTTTTTCTCTTCACTGACTTGGTCAATCCATGTGAAATTTGGCACAGTGGTAGAGGGTCATGGGAGGATGCGAATGAAGCAATATTACATCAATTGGCCAAAGGGGGGCGCTATAGTAACCGATTGAAATCGCAAACTTTGAATGGGCATATCTCATGCCCCGTATGTCATAGAGACATGAAACTTTGCACAGAGATGCCTCTCCTCATGAGGAACAAATTTGCCTCAAGAACCCATAACTTCCG